TCTATAATTTCCCGAGTTAATTGTGACGGGTGCTTTTTAACCACTTCACATTGATCAAACATGCGGGAACATCCACAATCGCGAATTCCACTGGAATTCACTGCAATGTAGTTTTGCTAAATTTGTTAAATAAGCAATTGCGGATGCCTGCATTTCTGAATCTTTCTCGCTCTGCAATGCTACATTGAGTACTTCACAATTCTGCAATGTCGCGTTGTGTCGAGAGGGTAGGCACTAGTTTTAATACTCAGCCGTGAGCCCATATCATAGGTATTATGTATATAGGGGATGGGCCTAAAAATATTTCAGGCTTGCTACATTTATTGTTAGAGTTAAGTTACACAGTTACCACAGCTAGAATTTCTCGTCGCAGGTAATGGCCAGTCTGCTGAGTATGCAGCGAACATGTATGCTAAAGAGGCACTTATGAGGTGTGTGCGTACAGATAGAAAAGGCCCAATTCTAATAAAATAAGTTTCAGACATGCATTGTACAATTTTGTTGTCTGTACATCTTTGTTGGTACTCTTACATCACACTATCTTCTAAGCCCTGAGCACAATCCCTTTTTTTTGCAAAGACATATCCATAGAACTTGAGTTCTCTCTTGCAACCAATCACTCCTGAAATCAATTGGTGGTACATGATGTGAATCTGTCCGAATACTGGATCAATAAAGGTCACATTTATTACACACTTGTTATTGTGTTTACTTTTTCAGTATACTTGTGGTTGAAAATGAAGTTGCTTTCTCCCTGCTACTTTTAGAGGTTAGGACTTGAAATACGTACTATCTTGCAGTGTGGCTGTAGATATGTGAAGATCATGTATGTTTCAACTACCTGTGCGATTTCCTAGATTTTTTTTTTTTCATGACCGTAGTGCACAGAATTTCACTTCGTAGTGGTAGACACTAGAGTTATGACAACTTAATTTAAACAGAAGCAGATGTGCACAAGGAAATCTGGAACGTTTTTCTGCCAAAAAAAAAAAACAGTACCACATGCAATGAACACAATCTTGCTCCTCATGACAGCATTCACGTCTTTGAGGAAGCTGTGCTGCAACGTCTCATCACCTTTATGATTTATTATTTTAGGAGACCATTGAACATATGTGCAAAGCTAAAGCAATTGAGTGCAGTCTTATGAGCTTTGGTGCATCTTTTTGTAAACTTGTATGAGCTAAACACAGTTAATTAAGACAAAACAGTTCTGGGTGTTGTTGGTAAACTGTTACAAGGCACAACTAAATGTCGGAAAGCCTGTAATGCCCATCACTGTGGGTGTGTTCATTATGTAGTGCAATTAATAATTTCCGACAATTCACATGCCAACTATGAAGTGATCGTGAGTCGTACAGTAGTGGGCAAATTAGGTTGATTCTGGCTTCCAGGGGTTCAAACAAATGACATTAGGCTCACAGGAGACAAGACTGCTTGTCGAAACATTTGTTTTGACCCCTTATGTTAACATATTTTTCATATTTTCCAGCTTCCATCTTTTAATGGTCAGTTTAGTTCACCTGCACCAATCCGAACTGGTTCACAACTGTGCACGAGAAGTTCAGAACTTGTGCGGCAGGAGTTCAGCGGTGCGGCATCACAAGTGAATGACAAGGTGCCGACAAGGTGGAATCCTTATTTTTGTTCGCTTAATTTAATGAGGTGCAAACATCCTGGCAAAACACGCCGCATTTATAGGGGTGGGTACAGCACCTACGTCTAATGCTATGTTGTTTGTTAAGCTATGCGAGCAGCTGCACCAAACCAGCGCCGTCAGAGCAGAAGGTACCGGAAAGTCATGAAATAGTTTTGGTGCTGTACCTCTCCTGCGCTTTTTGAAATGAATGGCAAGATTTAGAAGATGCCATTGCTGCGCCACTGAAACGAATGGCGAGGTGCAGCACTTTGTGAAATGAATCATGTGATGCAGGCGAATCGAACAAACCCTTAAGCACACAAGCATCTTAGCGTTTCACCCCCCATCGAAATATGGCTACAGTGGCTGGGATCAAACAGTGTGTTGTTCAGCTCAGTAGCGCCACACAATCTATAACTAATAGTGTTACAGTTTCAACATTATTGAAGTGTAGATTCCATGCCACTGTAGGCAGGCAATGCTTGTAGCCAATCTAAAGCAGCTCTCCACGATATGCGCGGTAAAACATTCACAAATGCAGCATTACATCTGTGAGGTTAGAGATGACCTGTTGTAGTGGACATTCAGATGTTTCAACGTGCTTGCAGAGTGGACATTCGGGGGTAGTCATCCTGTCATTGCATGGCAGTCTGGAAAAACAAGTAACATTACCAGATATCAATGCATGAAATCAATGCATAATCAATGCATGAAATTTTCCAAAGTAAACAAATAAACTCAGTTAATTAGTAAACAACAGTATTTTATACATATATGTAGCGGTACCTTATAACACGTATATCACTCAGGGCTGCTTCTTCACAAGGCATGTCACGTAGCAGGTTCCTTGCCCATTGTACACATTTGCTTCTATGTCAGGTGGGCCAGGAGGCTGTGGCAGAAAAAGAAGTATTTCTCATTTATGTGACGCTTCCTTTGTCACACTATAGCAAAACCAGATCCATAATTACGTGATGTTTCTAAAACGCGACTGCAGTAAATTATTAACTGGTAGGTTTTTGCACTAATATATGGGCTAGCTAAGAAGACACATGCGAGGCGACAGTGATTTATTTGCCTTCTTTATCGCTACGGCCTGGTTGATGTTACCTGGTTATAGAATTTCAGAATTAACTATTGAGTTAGTGGCTCGTTCCCACGTGAAGCCATGCACGCCGCAAGTAACGCACGTTTTTCCGGTTACAGATATAGACGTTCAACAATTTTAAATCTTAATACTGCAATGCGCTGCCACCGTGTGACGCCTACGCTGTCATTGGCAAAAAAAAAGAAAAAAAGCTACATATGTTGAAATGAACCAACTAGCCCCGCAAGCAACCATCCTTAAAAAACCGAAGTGGTTTCTACTCCCCGGCCCGGGCTTGCAACGGGTGTTCATTCGACGAAAGCTTCAAGGGTCGCTTCGCTTCCCGAAAGTCACTCCAATTCCCTTCGCGAAAGCATTTGAACGATTCAAAATAAACAGAATGAAAAAGAATGTGTCGGTCGGCAGAGGCTCGAAATATTTACAGCGAAACAAATCAGTCCGAGACACATCCGGACGTACCGCGAGCCGTTTATTGTTGTTGTTCTCCTATTGTTAGTGGCGCATACCCACTGGGGAGGGATTGGCCAAGAATCGAGTGGTTTCAACATTTACTATTCAGATTTGGAATGATGGAGGTTTAACAGAAAGGTTACCGATAGCCTAGGAAAGTGTGGTGCTAAATGTAATGCATACAAATATTTACATAAACGAATTTATTCTTAGAATTGAGCAATAATCTGATTTTATATCTATATAATTATGTGGACCTGTTAGGATAATGAAACTGGTTAATTAGTCAACCTATTAGTTTCATCAATATAATCCCGGACGGCCGCGCATACTGTCGCATTAGAGAAACCAGAAATGGAAGCTCCAAAAGACAAAATGACAGGCAGAGATAAGTCCATACCAATACCACGTAAAGGTATTTCTAGTAGGGTTTTTCGTAATGTGTTAAACCGCCTGCAGGTCAAAAAGAAATGATCTATTGTTTCCAGTTCATCACAGAATGCACACAGTGGCGAAGGTACCTGAGCAGACCTGTGTTTATATAGAAATTTAGATTTGGTACCCGGCAACGCAGCCTTGTGATAGCTACTTCTTGTTTTCGAGTGCGGCAAAAGTCTCTTCGCCAGGGATATAATAAATGGCGATATTCTGTAGAGTTTGTTAGTGCTGAACCTATAAAGACTTGCATAAGCGTACGTCTGCGGAATCGAGCAGCAGTCACATAAGCGGATGATGGACAGAGTGGTAGAATTGATTCGCTGATTGACGACTTAGCTAAGGAATCGGCTATTTTATTTAGAAACAAACCTTTATGTCCAGGCACCCAAACTAATCGTATTTTTTTCAAATGCGCAGGTACTAGTGCACGGAACGCCTTCGTTACGTGATTATCAGCACCAACAGAAAGTGCCGCGCAGAGAGATAGGGAATCTGTTATTATGACAGCTGATGTAATAGCTGTATCTAACTTGCGTAAGGCGAGCACTACTGCCAGAAACTCAGCCACAAAAACGGGTATGAAATCGGGTAGTCGAAGGGAATAAATCCAATTTAAAATCGGGCTGAAAATACCAACCCCTGACTTTTCGTCGTATTGCGATGCGTCTGTATCAATAATAACGTTCGTTGTAATACGGCGCAGGTGATCTTGTAGTAAACCATCCAAAATATTATGGGGAAGTAATTTGGCATTATTAGGAAAAATGTCGTCGGATTGAATTTCCACCGGGGCTAAATTATCACGACTCGGCATGATGTCGCATACACGTACGTTTAGAGGCTCCAGTAAATTTTGCACAAATATAATTTCTGGCGTGTGAAATCGCGGCCATCTAGCAGCAAAAAATGATTCCGGGGTGGAAATAAAGGCCGTTTCTGAATGTCGTAATGGTGATTAATAAATTCTTAAGAATGTCTGAACAGTCAGAAGGCGAATTCTACAAAAACCGTTTACTGCCATCGCAACCGTTGGCCGCCGCAAACTTTGAAATGAGGATAATGATGTCGATAGGCTGCTACTGACCTCGAATGAGCTGGAGCAAAAACTATTACAGAAAATTGATGACGCAGCACATGTTTAAGAAAAACTACTTGCTAGAAGAACAAAATGTTTTTATGTGTAGCGGTACGCAAACATGTAGTATTTGATCATAAAAAAAAAATTGACCCCGACGAAGGCGCCGCGCCTCTACAAGAAAGTGCAATAGCGGGAGTGGCGAGAGAGGTTAGTAGATCCACTCTGGGTGTTTGAAGCAAAAACGCGCCGCGGTTGATTTTTTCGCCCCCTACAGGTGGGCACTTGAACTTGAGAGTCTCTGTCTTGAAAATGGCTGCTCCCACAACTGAGAAAATTGTTGACATCGATGTAAGACACTCTCCGTACTTAACAGCACCATTTATTTGTACAAATCGTGCTACTGAGGTGTAACTGCTTAGAAACGCGAGTTCCCGTCTTCTGCTTTCACAGTCTTGAATGCAAGCTTTTAAATTTTCGCAATTACAGGTGGTCGACCCAAGCGAAGCGCAAGCGAACTTACAGTTCCAAGGTAAGTGGTGCGAGCAGCGTCCGTCAGCAGTGGGTATCACGCTCACTGTGTTTCAGACTTCTCGGACACCCTGCAAGGCGGCCCGCTCGGTGGTCGGCCAGGGACGAATCGATCGTACACCAGTTTCTCGGACATGAATGACGACGACGACGAGAGTGACGAGGTCAGTGCCGTAACAGTTTAGTAATTTCAGAACTATATATTGCTTAAATATTTTGAAATTATGAACAAATTTTTTTACATGAAGGCACCGGTCGTTTCATGGCCGATCCCCCATGGTGGGTTGCACCGGGATTTAAGGGGCAATCAATTCCGCCGCCTAATTTCTACGTACAGTATTGGTCTGGTCTGGTGCCTTCTCCTTTGTGCGCGAGCTGTAGCGAAACGGAAAATATCGACCAGCTGTCGCCGTTTCAATTGAAACATAGTAGCACACAGGAATACCCCAAATCGGGGGTACAGAGTGACATGGGATGGACATCGTTCGAGGGCAGGGAAGCTGGCAGTGAGATAGAATTCGAGGAGCTATTGAGAAAAATGAGAGAGGAGCATTGGGCTAGGAAAGCTTTCAGCTACTAGCACATGAAGAATGTTGATTCTAAATGGAGGAAGCAAACTCGAATATTGTATAGCAAGTATTTAGACAACAGCAGAATACCAGCCCAGAAGGAAACATCGGTTAAAAAGAAGAAAACAAAGGGACATATTGAAATGTGTTAGCTTGCGGTGCCTTTGAAGCACCCTAAATGTTGTAGGCAGGGAAGATTTTACTTAGCTCTCAAGAGAACACAAGCCACACGGGCTACAACGACGCCACACAGGCCACGAACTGCACAAGTGTCTCTCCGTCACATCTTCGTTCTCATCCACCAGCTACAGAGGGCATGGGCATTTTCAACATTCCGCCATCCGTTTAACGTTCTCGTTAAGGCACTTTTGGCAAAGTTACCCAAGTGCTTTTTCAAGCAAATGCTCGGCCATCCTATTAAACTACTTTTTGATTCACACACGATAGAAACAAGATAAACAAGAAACAAACCAATAACGCAAAAAATGGGCTATGTCTATACACTTACGCATAAAGTTCTTCAGGGCATGCGGAAGTTCGCCTGTTCGTGGCGGGAAACTTTCAAGGATGTGTCGTTACTTCCAGCTATCTTGACTGGCTTGAGTTTGAAGAAAGCCACAACACGCACGATGCCAGTGTCCTCTTGTCTAAACTGTGGCTTTGATGCTTGGTCAGGCTCGTGTTTGGACTTTCGTTGGCTCGTCTGCTGCGGTTCTTTCTTCGGATTCGCTCTGGCATTACCATGTTCTTGGTGTAGTCTGTTTCTGTTGGCTTCGGCTGTTTTGGTTCACTATCTTCGTTCGGGTTTTTTCCAGGGCTGTTCGTTCTTTTTTTGCGTCTGCTCTCCGGCACTTTTTCCCGATTCTTTCAGTGGCTTGTCTTTCCTTTTATCGTCTTGGCTTGACTGGTCCTTCAGTTTTTAGTCTTCTGCAACCTCGCCCTCCTCCTTAAGAGTCGCCTTTTGTCCCTGGGCTGTTTCTTCATCTTCTTCGTTTTTCTTTCCTTTTTTGCTGCATTTTGGTGCAGTTTCTTCTGCCGTGGGGTTTACTTTCAATCTCTCCGCCTCGCTGTATGTTCTCGCAGCACCGGGTTGCGAGTTCATTTGCTTTTCTTTCGCCTGGGCCTCGCTTTTGTCCTCGTCTTTTGGCTTTCCTTCGCTCTCAGCTTCGGCTTCGTTCTTATCTTTTGGCTTTCCCATTGGTCCGGCAGACATCTTGGGCTTCAGATCTTCTCTTTTCTTCGTTGTCAGATCTTTGCTGTCTCCGAAATTCTCGACATGTGGCGGGGCTTGTTTGAAAAACAGGATCACGTGTCCTTTGAGGGTCACATCAGGCACGACTTCCAGTTCTTGTAGACCTGGGGGCATCGTCTGCTTCCGCCGGGGTACTTCCTGTTGAGAGCAGACAACGGCCTGTCGCGTAGACGTGGGTCTCGGGTGTGGCGTGTCTGTCCACGAGCGGGAGTGGTTCGCGTCGTTTGTCAATTTTCTTGCCGTGGTAGCAGGCAGGCAGTGTTCTGAACCTGAAGGTGGTTTTAGGCTTCGATTGCATGTGCCGAAAAGCCATTGTTGTTCCAGTTCGATGTGTTCGAGCTCCAAGATGTCGTGCAGCAGGTCGTCGTCATCTTGATGTGTCCGACACAAGAGCATGATGCAGAATTCGCGCAACCTCAGCCCCGATAGAACTTCCTCTCGCGTATCGTTAAAGTCCAGGTTGAGTTCGTGGCAAAGACGCACTTTATAGTGGACGTAGGCGGCCGTGTTCTCATTACGCTGCTGCACGCACTCTAGCGTCTTGCTCCACCATTCTGCAACACGTGTCGTGGCTAACGAAGGTCCGACGGAAGTGTGTCTCGAACTCCTCGAACGGTACCAGTCCTTGCCAGCTCCTATCAATCGCGCCTTGGCTGTTTCCAGGGTGTACGCTGCTGGCCACCCGTGAAGGTTAGATGTTCGGCGAATATTCTCGATCCACTCGCGCGCCGAAGGAGCGTCTTTGGAGCCGTCGAAAGGACTGATATTGTGGCTCAAGTCTGGAATTACCTGGAACGTTGACGCTGGTTGAGGTTGCGCTGGCAGTCGGTCGTTCCAGCACGGTCAATAATAGACAGTCCTTTTCTTGGATAGCTTGTAATAGTTCATGAGCTGTGATCTTGTCTCCGTGGTCAAAGTCCGCATCTCCACCACCAGTCGGGTTGACTCGTTAGTTGGTGCGTTCCATTAGGCTTACGTTAAAGGGACACTAAAGTCAAATGACAATTTATGTTAGAGTGAAAGCTCAATGTATGACAACATCTAAAACAACAATATTATCAACAACAGTGCTCTACCGAGAAATTAAGGTAAATGCACAAGAACACAAGCGCCAAAGTAGGACGTTTTCAAAATAATCACGATGACATCAGACGGACCGCCTGCAATTATTCACTAGTGATCGATATAACTGCACTAAATAAAGAACCTTCATGCATCAATAAATGCAATAAAAGGCTGCTTGTTCATTTCTGTTTGATGCACGAAAAAAAAAAAAAGAACCGCCGGACGTTACTATGAGGAATGGCGCGAGTGGTTTAAAAATTCAATTTTTCACGCTTACACAGTACAGGTGGTGCCACCTAGCAGGGCGCTGTCGAAACAAAAGGGTCTGCACATGGCTTTTGAGATTGCGGGCGCGTGGCGGTTTTCTCTACAGCTGTCCCAATCGCACAGAGAGCGCGTGTTTTCAGAGGTAGCCCGCTTTTTTCTCCGCACTGCGGCGCTCTTTCTTTTGGTCGAAAAGGCTGCCACGCTGTTGGCGAAGCTTCATTGTGGCAAGAAAAATTGGTTTTGTGTTTTTATATAACTTTCTGTTCATTTGGAAATTTCGGGTCAAGGTGTACCAGAGGCAAAGTGAATGCTGGGGCATTTTATTTTCAAATGGGGTTTTCATTTCACTGTAGAATAGTACCACCCTTATTAGAGCATTTAAATTTATGTGCCTCTGTAAGAGATCCGCATGTGCTAGAAACTATACTTCGAAGTTCATGGGCTGTATAGTAGGGGGGGGTACTGGCGAGAAACAAAGAAAAATGGCTGCCCGATCTTTTTTGATTCTCCAGTAGGCTACCTTGGCAAATACTTGGTTTTCTAAAAGATGTCGTTAGGCCGCATGTGCGACCTTTTGATTTGGCTGCAGTAGAGATAACAGTAAATGAACACGATACTGATATTGCTATGGTGCTATCAAATCATAATCAAAATACAGATGACGAAAAAAGGAGACGATAACTCGAGCACTTTCACTGTGAAGGACGTAGGGAGTAAATGCAGGTCAGTTAATCGTAGCCTTTCACAATATTCCGGCAAAATTACTTATCACATTAAGTGGCACGATCAGCGCACTTTATTATCTGGAGCGTAAGTGGAATTTGGTTGGCCACCTGATAAATGTCGATACACAATAAGATAGTTAGGCGATCTCCAACAATAGGTGGGCAATATGATTCAGCGACAATAACCCAGTCTTCACCCTCATACGCATCTCTAGTAAGGGGGAATGGTAGAATGCCTCTGTCATGGACGAGAGAACACCTCCTTGCAATAATCAATATAAGAAAAATACAGCAGTTGCCATGCTTTTATTTGCCAATTGGACCAAAATGAAAGTCGTAACAGAAAAAAAAAAATACTTGCCTTCAATGCAGTTAGAAGATTTGTCAGAAATTTTGCCCACGCCCCGCCGCGGTGGTCTAGTGGCTAAGGTACTCGGCTGCTGACCCGCAGGGCGCGGGTTCGAATCCCGGCTGCGGCGGCTGCATTTCCGATGGAGGCGGAAATGTTGTAGGCCCGTGTGCTCAGATTTGGGTGCACGTTAAAGAACCCCAGGTGGTCTAAATTTCCGGAGCCCTTCACTACGGCGTCTCTCATAATCAGATAGTGGTTTTGGGACGTTAAACCCCACATATCAATCAATCAAATTTTGCCCACACGCAAGAAAAAAAAAATCATGCGCACACTAAAATTTCGCCTGCTCTGCTTTCTGCCGTGGTCTCCGCCCATCTAGGAACCCACATTAAATGCGCCCCCTCGCGGTAGCCGGGCGCGTGATGTGATACTCGCTGGTTTTGCTGGGAAGCGCGGCGATTGGGACGGCCGGAGAGAACCGGGCGTGCGCTCGCAATCTCGAAACCAGTGTTAGTAAATTGATCAATGGCTGCTGTTGCTGCTGTGGCTCCTGCTACTTTCGGTCTGCTGCTACTAGCGCAGTAAAGCCAGGCAACGTTGTGCATGGCAAGAGTGACATGAGATGGTTTGGTCGGTCCACTTCATGAGGCGGGTACTTTGAAGTGCGCTAACCCGATGCGGAGCACTAAAACGTTATTTTATTTCAAAATAGGCCCTTCCTTGGCACAAAAGTAACTCTACGAGGTTTCTGAACCGCCATTCCAACAATCAACGTCAAATTAATAGTTGGCTTTAGTGTCTCTTTAACAGGCTTCGTAGACTGACCAAACTCATTTTTTTCGCTGTGGTGATTGGATGGCGATCCCACTTCTAAAGTGTTGTCTTCCACCTCGTAATAAAAGAGCAATTTACTAACACAGAATAAAACACATGC